GTAGCTGCAGGGGGGACACTGGTGTGGACACGAGATTGATAACAGATTACTGTTGTAGAAAAACGATGCAAGAATTTCCTTATTATTCCCAGGGATCTACATGTTATTTTCCCCTCTCTGGGTCTGTTCGTCCAGCAGCATTCAGACATGTGGAGCGTTGACGTGTCATATATTCAAATATATCGCCGCGTCGAAGGCCTGTAGGAGGTTAAGATGTCAGTGTGACACCATTAGAGGTTTTCTTTTCTGTGCGAACGTCTTTTTCTCCGTTCCACCTGGTGTTGGAGGTGTGAATGTGGTCACATGTTTTTTCCTGGTGGGCCGCCGCACAAATGCCACATCCTCTGCATGGCTGGGTGCTCATTATGGTTAAGCTGCTGCTTTGCTGTGGTGGGTTTTAATGAAGGTAACAAACAGGCTGTTTCCACTGCAGGAAGATAGGAACCTGCCACTTGAAGGATTAAAGGGAGATTTACAGATTTACAGATTTACGGACACAGTGTGTGTTTTTGTTGTAATAAGTCAGATGTAGAAAGCGACAGAAATCACAGTCAGATTATTGGAGGTGAAGGAACAGACAGCTGTCAGTTACTGTTGAGAAGGGAACAAATACCCAAACAAGTGGTTATGCTGTTTTCGGTTTTTCAAAGTGGTGTTCAGACGTTGTTAAAAGTCCACGGTCATATTTTTCAGCCAAAGCCGTGTTGATTGTGATTGATTGAACTCCTCACCACATCAGTTCAAAGTCAAGCCTTAACAAATATTAGAGCGGAGCGATAACCATCTCCAACACGTCTGTAGGCGACACTCTGTCATTGGTCTGATAAACATCTCATTTTCATCTTCCAGACCTGCCTCTCTGTGACCTGTCTGTCTCTCTGTCTCTGTGGACTCCCTTTGGTCTGTCCATCTTGACGCAAATGTCCTGAAGTAAAAAAACACAAACTAAGATTGAGGGAAAACCAGGTCATTTCAGGGTCCACCTTATATTCCATCTTCAAATGACAGCAAGTTAAAAAAAGTTTTTGAAGTGCAGGTTGTTTTGAGTTTCCTGTTTTTGTTCCTGTGGTGGAAAAAGCCGAAAAGCCGTTTCAGAACAGTGCATGCTGGGTAAACGTCATTTTGTTGTTTGTAAAAAAAAGTGATTTTGAAGTCAGTATTTAATTATTTGTGTTTTCATTACCAAAATGTTGATTTGTGTTTTATTATGTTGAGTCATTTTAACTAACCTTGAATTTATTTTTTTATTTTTTTGCAAATGCAAAAATACGTTCTACACTGCTCACTGGGAAATTTTGCTGAGTTGAGGAGTTTTTTTTCTTCTCCATTCTCTGTTAAATTGGCCAAATCTATTACAATGTGTTGAAGAATTAAAAATTCAACTGCGTAAAACACAAACAATCTGTTTTATTCACCCTCGATGTCAGACCAACTCAGCTGAGCTCACACTTAGAGGAAAAAATCTCTGTGGTTTTCTGTCTGTGAACCACCAGTTACAGCGTCGTTTTTCAAAAAGCTACATTTTTCTGGCATTATACAATCGAAGCCCAAGTTGTTTTTGGCAAAAACAATCTCCACTTACGGTACCTCC